TCATTCATAAACTTATTCACTTATTTGTCTTTCATTTGTACGGCATTTGTCAGATTTTAAGTGTACCAAAATAATTTGTGTAAATGTGAAAGAAAATGTAAATTATGCAAGTTTCACAAAATACTCGAACTTCACTCCGATGTGTTTGACCTTGGACTATCTCTGTGCTAGCAAAAAATACAATAAAGCGCTGGAATTTATTTACTAATGCGATGATTATATGAGGATGAGGAGATCATTGCGCACTAGATCCGAGGTTATCACTACAATTATCGGTTAACAATAACAACCTTTCAGATCACTGGCTCAGTCCTGTCAGAATTTCCTTATCGCTCGGCGAGTTGGTGGCGTCGTCGGATCGTCTCTTTTGGCCGAAATGCTCTCGTCGTCAATTCAAAGCACATGTGCTCGTTAACTCTCGCTCTCGTCACTAGATCGTATATGTAGGTATTCATGAATATTCATGGTATTCACTTACCTGATCGAATCAAGGGATTATTGTAACCACCTCTGTTTCTGTTGCTTTTTATGTGTTGTGTGATTCTCTAGCAGATTTGCCCGTTTTGTGAATCTCGTATTTTGACGATCACTTACTATAAGTTACGTTATAGTGGAAGAAACTGTTGCAAATATTTGTAAAACAGCATTATGCGCTACAGGGACATGCATAATCAAACCATTTCGCCTAATGTCATTTATACTTGTATTCATTTCAACTGTTCTCGTATCAACTGATCTGTGCATTTTCAAGGATGATTTTTGTTCGCCAACATTTCACTTACACTCACTAGGCATCGATTCGTTATTTTCTCTCTTTTTTTTGTTTTATCCTCATCGCGAAATCCCACTTTAAATGTTTTCATACATTATATTATAATGTGACGGGAACTGTATTTGTAAACTCTGTACACGCACACTCCAGTTCATAATCTTGCCGTTTTTACGGGTGTTATTAGCCTTGCCTTGCATTTTTCTCCTCTACGCCCGAATTGCCTAACTCTCCGAATTTTCACTTCATATATCCTAAAATGCCTCTTGCCACTGTGTTGTATGTATCGATTGTGATTTTTTTTTTGTGTGAAATAACACTTGTTGTTGTTTGTGTTTCTCAAAGCAAGGTCAGCGACTAAAGCGCATGTGTAAGTCAACGATAACTGTCGCATCGCACTTCATCTCAACTGCGATATCGCTTCGCGATACTACAATTCAACCATCGATTTTCTATGAATCGTGCATAGAACGTGTTGCGCAACTTTAGCGTGCGATGGCGGCAAAATTTGCGACACCAGCCGGTTTTCGCCCACTTTTTCGCCCTGCTAGCTAAATTAGCGGCCAAAGCGTCGCACCTATCCCCACTCATTCTGATGTGGAACCGCGGGAGAAATTATATAGCATAGCAACATAACAAAGTGTTTGCTTATTGAATTTTGTCGGGAAAAAAGCGATTAAATGGAGAGTTCCTTGCAAAACAGGGATATTTTTATGTCCTCGGAATAAGAGAAGCCTAGGTTCTGCAGTATTAAGATAACAGACAGGCTTTTATCTCTATGAACCCGTACTATTTGAAGATATCTGACTTTGTTTTCTGAACCGTGACATAGTTGCTCCTTAGATCATCACCAAATACTAAAAATTACTTTTATTGTCTGTATAGCAACGCTTTACCAATATAAGAACGACACAGAAATGAAAAAAAAATGTTGAGTGAAATACTTGGAAAACGTTTTCGATGTCGACCGCAGCAAATATTAGCAAAAAATCTCAACAAATCTGGGTACTCATCGCACAGTCAGATTATATCTCACCCTCAACGTTGAGAACTTGCGCCATTAATCATAAAACCAA